ATATGACTTTTGGAAAGCTGTCTGTAGAAATTTTTCCCATAATTCCTTCCGTAGGGTAGATAATTGGCATTGAATTTTCAAAAATTTTGACAAGGGTGCATTTCAACGAGCGTCACGCCCAGGTCAATGCACCGACTGAGACAAAAAAAACTGGGGGTTCAAGTTGAGGTTATGTGTGACCTAAATCCAAGAGATGGGGACAGGGGTCCTTGTGGTCTAGGAGGAGAAGCGGTAACGGTGACTTGTATCCGGCGCCAGTACGCGGAGCCGCAGGAGCCGGCGGAGCCGCATGAGCCGGGGGAGCCATACGAGACGGGTCGGGACTAAAACCATGAGTACCGCCAGCGTACACGCTGGCGGTACTAATAACCACAAAAATTAAATTAAATGAGTTTATTTTACATTTTCACTCTAGGCTAGTAGATTTACTTTAAAATTCTGTATATTTTTCTTGATAAGATTCACACTTCCTACCTTAGCAGGGGTGGAACCCACACCCAGTCCCATTGTGTCACTGACGGCAAAGGCACTTGCCACCCAGGAAGTAATGGTATCTGGCACCTTGGTCTCAAATGATACTCTCCCATCAGACCTTAGTGAGAGAAATTAATTACTATTACATCAAGATAGACTGACGACCATGGTGTAGTTACAATTGTGTACAAAAACTACAAATCAACATGATAAATCTGAATTTTAATTTATTGAACTTTAATTTAAGATAGATCCTACAATGTGAATTTGATGTTTACATTTACTTTTTTTTTTATAGTCACCAAAATTTTACTTTACCACATGAAACTTTTTTTCAGTAGGAAAAGTATCAAAACTTTGCAAACGTTATAGCATTTAATTCACATATCGCTTGCGCAGTAAAATCATGAATATCAAAGTGGAAATCATACCAACAAATATTGGATAATATGTACATGATGACATTGGTATTTACAATCTATACCATATCCACAGTGCATCAACTATCACTAAGGGTACGTTCCCAATGAAATTACTGTACTAGGTAGATCAGTCCAACTCCATGGGGACTCTTGCTGAATCCAACCAGATTAACTGAATAGCATGCTCCTTGAGCAGCACAGGAAAACTAATCACCTGTTACCTGCTCGATGCATGTCATTCAGTTAATCTGATTACATTCAGTGAGAGTCCTCAGAGAGTTGGATCCATCTACCTAGTACGATCATAGTTTCCTTGTGAACACACCCTTATACTATGGTGCCTGGGTGTGGATAGATATTAATTTTATTATCTAACGGTANGTACACATCTTGTATATAACTCGCCAATCTAGAGAAACATGCAGATCATTATCACAATACACACCCTACACAACCTTGGGAATCATAACAAACATGCTTATTAGAAACTTTGCCTAATTAGCTACTCACAAATTTCAAACACCCCATTTATTTCAACTGTAATAGGTATTCTTTAAATCAATTATTTTAGCCCCTTCATTGAAAAAAAATGTTTATTTTATAAAACTTTTCAGTCATCTTTTTCAGATATTACTAACAAATCATTGTTTTGGGGGATTCCTTGTTATTTGATTAATTTTGTTGAAATATAGTGGGTAGTTACCATATAACAGAGAGCATGCTGTTAGTTGAGAATAACACAGTTAGCATCAAGTTATTTATTGAGTGTAGAGGAAATCAAAACAAAGAAATACATGCTGACAAAAATGGGGACTCCAATTTAGGCATGTGTGTTGTATATCTGCATGTGAGTGCTGTACCAGTAGAGCTGCACGTGTTGTATATAAGCATGTGTATGTTGTATATTTGCAAATGACCTTACACGGATGTTTAAGGCCTCACAAGTATTATTTAAAAAAACTGACTTGGGATGAGAAAAAAATTGCAAGAAAAACTGAGACAGTTGAAAAATTCGGTGAAGAATTAATGCTCTTGAAAACATAAGGACCTTCCTATTTGTATTCTGTAGAGAAATTACTTAAGTTAAAACCAAAAGTTCTAAAATAATACAATTTAAAATATTATTTTCTGTGGCTCTGAAACGTGTGGTTAAAATAAAAATGTCAGTGTCCTCAAGTATTTCTTCATTTTTAGAATAATTAAGATCTATTTTTATGTTTAACTTGACAATTTTGTACAAAAATTGTATAAGGGGGGTTTATCACATTTTGTAACTTAAAGAAACATGAATGAGTATTGTGTTACTGTTTAAATAAGCAAAAGCAATATTAATAAAACTGAAAAGCAACAGATAAGATTTGCAAACAAGCACTGCATCTTAAACAAAAAAGATAGATAAAAAGTTCAATGAATCATAGAATATAGACAACATGCAAAATAATGTGAAAAAGAATAAGTATCAAGGTTAAAAAGTATATATAAATATATATATTTTTTTCAAACTGGAAGGAAAAATCAAATGGAAATTAACATAACAATGTCCTATACAGTCATATGTATTAGTCAAATTCAGTGCATCTGAAAAAGATGAATCAAAAACTATTGAAAATTTTTAGTTTATAACAATTACTCCTATTCAAAAAGTGCTAAAAGAAGGCAATGATAATTAGTTATGAAGCAATTCACAGATCTGTTGATCCACTTGGTTAAAGACTTAGCCTAACATAGTCTATGGCTATTAACTGTTTCTAATCTATGTTCTTGGCTGCTGGGGCAATGATGAATGAAGAGGCCTATGTAACCAGTTTAAACAGACTGTTTTTAGTAACTTGAGGACATTCATTTTCCACATATAGCATCTTCAGCAGCTTCATGCCCGTAACTGAACACAAACATTCAACGGCCATGCATAAAATACCATGCTTTTGTCTAACCTAGCAGGAATTTACCCAGAAATAGAATCTCTCCAAAGCCAAGTTTCTGGAAAACTCTTTCTAACTGTTTCAACAGGCTCCAGAGTTTTAGTAATACTTGTGTCATCAACTGGATGAAAGGTCTTTTCAGAAACTGTTGCGGCAAAATCGTAGTCCATTTCATCATAATACATGTATTCGAAGGCTAAAAACAAATCAGCCATAGCTAAATGTATGCTTGAAAGTCCCTAGAAACAGCATGGTCCAAGACTGGCAAGCCAGAACTTAAGAAATATTGAAACAACAAGCACATATTCATTTTTTTCTAGATTTTTCTGGAATATGTGGTAATCAGGTATGACCAATCTAACCTGCCAAATGTCAACAGATAAAAGAGAAAGGCAAAAAGACAAAAATCTAAGGGCATCAGGGGTAGCTTTCAACATGCTATGATAAATGCTACTAACATTTTTAAAAAACTGTTTGGGACCATATGCACTGACATATACTACAGGATAGGCCACGTAAACTATAACCAGTTCTAAATGATATAAAAACCACTTTGAGCATCAAAGTTGGACTAAATACCAATTCCCTTGCTGAATTATCAGATTAAACATAGTGCATCAATAATTAACTGACTACAGAAGTGCACAATTATGATATTCCCTTCATATAAAAGTTTTTTCTCATATTCCCATTCTATTTTCTAATAACCTAACATTCACAAAGACAAAATTTTCACTAAATTTTCCAAAGAGACTAAAAAGGAAACTGGTAGCAAACCCTAAAGGAAAATCAATGGTTAATTATTTTAAAGACAAATCTATGATGACATGTTACAACATCCCTATTTGTAATTAAATAAAAGACAGGGTGCAATTGAAAGCTGTGTAGGAGAATCTAACATTATAAAAGAATGTAAATAAATTTAAGTGCACCCCTTCTTTGTTAAAATGTCTGAGCAAACCTAATATGGTAAATACTTGAAAATTTTGTCACTTAAAAATTAACATTTTAGAATGTGTGAAGCTGACATAAGGTGACAAACTTTTCAAAGCATCAAGAGGGCCATTATCATGTTTGACAAAATTTTCAAAATGAAAAAAAAATTAGGTCAGTGGAGAATCGTCTCCCAACAAAATTTCAAGACCGACTAAATTTTCAAGTTTTTACAGTACCAGTTTAACCATCACCACACTCCACAGTAGCCTGTTGTGTATGAAGTTCTACATCTGAAGTGCTCAACAGAAATCAATATACTGTCTGGGACCATTCTAGCATATCATTACATTCTGAATTTTCACCAAATAGCTTAATTTCAATTTGGCAATAAAACAACGTCACTGACATACATTTACTGAAAATAACTTAATAAGTATTTAATTTAAAAGATCACTATTTTCTGACATATTTGGTGAAAATCCCATATGCCAGCATGATCCTGGACTGTAGTGATGAAGGTGACGAATACCCTGCCATCATCTCACTCCACAGCCAGGACTCGGGGAATGCTTTACGGACGGTTGTTACAGCAGCTAAACGACCAGATTCAGAAGAATCTTCAGCAGGGGCCAAAGCTCCATCCATTATACCACCGCCAATCCCTGCTATAGGCCGTTCCTCTAAGACTGGATAAGACAGAAATCATCACATTATGTTTTATGAACAAAACACATTGGTTTTATCCTGTTCGTTAACCTGGAGATCTCATCGGAATGTTGACGTGCTGCTTTGATCCCCTTGGTTCACTCTTGCCCTTTTAACACCGTGTATCAAAATTATATATCAAAATAAAATGAAAGATACCAATAGGAGCTTTTGAGCAAATACAGGTGAAACTACAATGCAAAAATTTAAAATTAATAGCAAAACCAAATAGAAAATAATGCAATCATAAAAAGTGAACTGATTGGACAAAAGTCTTTTCAAAAGAGAAAAAAAAGCTACTGCTATACTGCGTCAAGGCATGGTGAGTTGCAATTTCTGTTGCCCTTTAGCCCCTATAAACTGGAACAAAATACTTCAACAAGGCTAAAAATGTACACATCTTGTATATAACTCGCCAATCTAGAGAAACATGCAGATCATTATCACAATACACACCCTACACAACCTTGGGAATCATAACAAACATGCTTATTAGAAACTTTGCCTAATTTATTAGCTGTAATGCATGCAAAACACATCCACATCATTTTTTGTTTAAGATCTTAAAACCAATAAAAGAGACCCTCCATATGGCACTGTTCCCCACCATCCCTATGTCTATCCTCCTTAGTGTAAAAAAAATCTATTCTACAGCAAAAATTTTAACATATCACATTGTATGTGAAATATGTTATATGTTACTGTATCACAATTCCCCAATTACTTGTTAGTAAAAAGTCAACTATATAATGTATGTCTTCATCGAGTACCCTGTAACTGCAGTGCTCCACAGCCAGGTTTCGGGGAAAAATTTGCGGACAGTGGTAACAGCAGTGAGTTCAGATGTGGCGCTCTTTCTCAGGACGGGACTTGGTGCCACATTTTGCCGTAATACTCCCCCAAAGGCATCAGCTACATCCATTGGCTGGGCAAATGCAAAAACTGGCCCTAATGATTGAAAGAGAACAAGCCGCTATGAACTGCTTATATCTGTATACAGACTGTAAATTAGTATGCTGGACAGGTGCATCTTGTAGCTTATGCACTTTCCTAGGCCTTTTTCCCATGGATGATTTAAGTCCCTTAATATATGCCCACCCCCCCCTCTCTCTCTCTCTCACTCACACATACACACACCATTATTTTAATTAACATATATCACACAACAATGCATTAATATATATCTCTGGCAAACACAATACACACAGGTGACAGCGATTAAAATACCAATAAGCAATCCTCGATATAGCAATATACCCAAAAGTAGCAATATCAAGCAACACTCATTGGTATATTTTATACATTTTATGTATTGACACACCATATATAGTATTTGCACCTTATGCATAAAAATAAAGGTTATTGTAGTTATATCTGCTTTATAAATACATGAGCAATACACAAATAAATAAATACATGTAAATATAGATCAATGCACAAAAGCAGGCAAAAACAAGACTAGTACCCTACTACGCTAGATTTCCAGAGCCAAGTTTCTGGGAACTTCCTGCGAACTTGACCTACAGATTGCAACGGCAGTGTTACGAGAGTGTTTTCTGCTTCCATGTAATAAATTCCTAGGAAAAAATAGAGGCCAGCAATTGATAATTGATGATTGATGCAATATATCATATTAATATTAATCAGATCAGTGGGAAGAATTGTGTGGGCATGTTTCCAAGGGCTATCATCGGATCCAGAAGAATCAATGCATTTAACACATTCTTCCCTGGTATCTAGTTGGTGTAAGCAGGTACATGGAGCATAGACAGATCAAAATATAGGATAAATTACATAGTTTTTTTTTACAATATATTCTGGGATAATTAAGGGAGATGCTAATTGATAGTAATAATAATGATGATCATCTGTCCATTTAAATCCTGTTGGTAAATAATAATGGGGAAGGGCAAATATGAACTTTTTTTCACAACGCTTAAATACGCTGTTTAACTAGATGTTTCTGACCATTAAAACAAATTCTTCACAATTTTAACTTTAGATTAGGTTTGGGGTCAATTTAGCTCAAAAGCTCTAAAGTTCAAAGTAGTCACCAAAATTCCATCCTTAAAAATTCTATAATCCAAGTAACCAAGTATAAGCATTAAAATCACAAGCAGATATTTCTTTTTCTGAATTTTCAAGATGAGAGTAATTTCAGCTATCAAACACAAGAAGAGGACTACTACAGTGTATTGCACATATGGAAATTTTCTTTCATGACCCCTGACCTTACTGAAATATGACCTCACTGACCTATGACCTCCGTTGAGGTCAAGCATCTTGACATTGTGTTCTGCACTCAATGCACTGAGCCAGAAAACAACTAGTCCTGGAAAAAGTATGGTTATATGCCCTACTCCACTAATAATATCCAAAGCTGGAAAGGTTTGGCTCTTAGGGAATATTGGCATACTGCATCATACCAGCAGGATCCATCTTTTTCTGAGGGGTTTCTTCAGTTTAAGCATGAACGAAAGTGAATGACCCCCCCCCCCCACCCCCCTAGTAGCTTTAGTGAGTGTGACAGACATTTAGGCTGCTTAAGCTGAATGCAATTTAGTGAGAATCCCCTTGGCATTAGATTGTTCCTGCTAACACAATAGGTTTATGGGAACCCAGTCTTAAACATGTACAACTGGCCAGGGTAAAGTAAACATAAATGGGGAGATGTGGCCAACTATTACCCAACTTTGTCTGTAGTCCAGAGCCAAGTTTCTGGAAAACTTTGACGTATTTTTTCTGGCTCTTTCAAAATACTCTTCTTTCCAAAATTATGTTCAGCTCCAGTTATCTGTACTCCATGAACAATACCTTTTCCTACCATGAAAATTGTTTTTTATGTCAATAAAATTGATATTTATCTATATAGCATCTGGTAAGATATTTTTCAAAAATTAGTTTGATGAAATAAAATTAGTTAGTAATGCATGATGCTTTATTTATGTGAAATAAATTTCTGAAAAAAAAAGAAACAAGTGAATTAATCAAATTCATGCTATAACACAGAAAAGATGAATAAATCAAATTAAGAAATTGAGTCAGAAGCTGATTCAACTTATAACCCCTTCATGGTTTGTGACATACTGTGGTAAAAGATAAAAACCTTCCAGCCATTTTTTGTTCATAATCTGTTGGGTCATGCCAACTCATAAATATTTTGGTAAAAATTTTTTCCACGTCATTTGGGGTTTGTAAAAAAGTAGGAAGAAGCTTTACAAATATGGGTATGGGGTTACTCAAGGCAGAAAACTGCTAAGAAAAAAATTAGATTTCTGATTAAAATAAACTCCCATGATTTAGTTCTAAGCAGTCATTTCATGAGTGGAAATGTTAAGTTAAAGGCAATTTGTTATCAGATTGTCATTGAAAGTCAGGAAAATAGGTGAAAAAATAAAATGAAATAATTTCTTGAAGGCGTCACTTTCTTGTGTTATTCTTTTAAAATGCTACACAGTTACATGTAAAGGCCTACAAGTTTATGGGTGAAACACACTGTCACACATGAAAAAAAATCTACAAACAACAAATAAAAATAATAAATTTAAAAAAATGAAAAAAAAAAAGACATTGAAAAAAACACTGAAAGAAAAACACCAACTGCTTTAACACAAATTTTGATGAAAAAACAAGGAAAAAAAATCAGTTTCACATTTAGAAGTGGTTGAGGCTGAAATGGTCTGAGCATGGCAAAAAGACACAAGCAGCACAAGTACCCAGCAATTTTGTCAATCCAAAGCCAAGTTTCTGGAAATTCCTTTCTCACTTCCTCTACAGTCTGGAGGCTGTTGCTGCTTCTGGATTGGTCTGCTTCAGCAACGTTGTCTGCAACTGGCAGCAGAGCTGCCATTTCAAAAACATTGTCGCCACCATCAGCTCTACGCAACCAGTTGTCTGTCACTACATAACACAATGAAAAATCTTGTTTGACAGATAAACTCATGAAAGGAATTAACTGTAACACAAACAAGATGGCACTTTTTGTTAGTTTTGAAATAAAGTTATCCATGGTTGAAAATGAGGTAATTCTATCAAAAATGCAAACAATAACAATCATTACAATAAAATCAAAACATGATTAATAATCTGAGACAACTTTAACATTAATTGTTATCCCTGCAGCTTTTCAATAGGTTTTGAGTCTAATAATTCCTTGTTGTTCATGAAACTTAAAAATTCATAACACATATTATGACATCTAGCCAGTATGGCCACAATGCTTGCCAATGCGCTAAGATGACAGAAGGCTCAATAACATAAAAAGAAACAAATAAAGGTGCCTCCTCCTTCAATCAGTCACTTTCATGTGAGCAGTGACAAAGGTGGACAACTGTAACAGTCAAATGCCTGTAGCCACCTAACTTCCCTTGGCAAAATGAAACATTTGCAGCAATATTGCAGCAAATTGGCAGCAGACCTGATATTTTGCTAAGGGTAACCAACAGACAGATAATACACATAAGACTTGGTGTAAATCTCATCTTCAGAGTTGCATACTTATTTTAAAAAACAACTTAAATTACTTATTCATTTCATATTCAAAGATTATAACCAGTATGTCTGTATCATATAAGTTTTAAGTTTCCAAGACTACATAAAAAGTAAAATTTAATTTAAAACTAGAGGATCAGAGANTATTAGCTGTAATGCATGCAAAACACATCCACATCATATTTTGTTCAAGATCTTAAAACCAATAAAAGAGACCCTCCATATGGCACTGTTCCCCACCATCCCTATGTCTATCCTCCTTAGTGTAAAAAAAAATCTATTCTACAGCAAAAATTTTAACATATCACATTGTATGTGAAATATGTTATATGTTACTGTATCACAATTCCCCAATTACTTGTTAGTAAAAAGTCAACTATATAATGTATGTCTTCATCGAGTACCCTGTAACTGCAGTGCTCCACAGCCAGGTTTCGGGGAAAAATTTGCGGACAGTGGTAACGGCAGTGAGTTCAGATGTGGCGCTCTTTCTCAGGACGGGACTTGGTGCCACATTTTGCCGTAATACTCCCCCAAAGGCATCAGCTACATCCATTGGCTGGGCAAATGCAAAAACCGGCCCTAATGATTGAAAGAGAACAAGCCACTATGAACTGCTTATATCTGTATACAGACTGTAAATTAGTATGCTGGACAGGTGCATCTTGTAGCTTATGCACTTTTCTAGGCCTTTTTCCCATGGACGTAACTTGATTTAAGTCTCTTAATATATGCCCCCCCCCCTCTCTCTCTCTCTCACTCACACACACATACACACACCATTTTTTAAATTTAACATATATCACATAACAATGCATTAATATATATCTCTGGCAAACACAATACACACAGGTGACAGCGATTAAAATACCAATAAGCAATCCTCGATATAGCAATATACCCAAAAGTAGCAATATCAAGCAACACTCATTGGTATATTTTATACATTTTATGTATTGACACACCATACATGTATATAGTATTTGCACCTTATGCATAAAAATAAAGGTTATTGTAGTTATATCTGCTTTATAAATACATGAGCAATACACAAATAAATAAATACATGTAAATATAGATCAATGCATAAAAGCAGGCAAAAACAAGACTAGTACCCTACTACGCTAGATTTCCAGAGCCAAGTTTCTGGGAACTTCCTGCGAACTTGACCTACAGATTGCAACGGCAGTGTTACGAGAGTGTTTTCTGCTTCCATGTAATAAATTCCTAGGAAAATAAAAGAGGCCAGCAATTGATGATTGATGCAATATATCACATTAATATTAATCAGATCAGTGGGAAGAATTGTGTGGGCATGTTTCCAAGGGCTATCATCGAATCCAGAAGAATCCATACATTTAACACATTCTACACATTCTTCCCTGGTATCTAATTGGTGTAAGCAGGTACATGGAGCATAGACAGATCAAAATATAGGATAAATTACATAGTTTTTTTTTTCAATATATTCTGGGATAATTAAGGGAGATGCTAATTGATAGTAATAATAATGATGATCATCTGTCCATTTAAATCCTGTTGGTAAATAATAATGGGGAAGGGCAAATATGAACTTTTTTTCACAACGCTTAAATACGCTGTTTAACTAGATGTTTCTGACCATTGAAACAAATTCTTCACAATTTTAACTTTAGATTAGGTTTGGGGTCAATTTAGCTCAAAAGCTCTAAAGTTCAAAGTAGTCACCAAAATTCCATCCTTAAAAATTCTATAATCCAAGTAACCAAGTATAAGCATTAAAATCACAAGCAGATATTTCTTTTTCTGAATTTTCAAGATGAGAGTAATTTCAGCTATCAAACACAAGAAGAGGACTACGACAGTGTATTGCACATATGGAAATTTTCTTTCATGACCCCTGACCTTACTGACCTATGACCTCACTGACCTATGACCTCCGTTGAGGTCAAGCATCTTGACATTGTGTTCTGCACTCAATGCACTGAGCCAGAAAACAACTAGTCCTGGAAAAAGTATGGTTATATGCCCTACTCCACTAATAATATCCAAAGCTGGGAAGGTTTGGCTCTTAGGGAATATTGGCATACTGTATCATACCAGCAGGATCCATCTTTTTCTGAGGGGTTTCTTCAGTTTAAGCATGAACAAAAGTGAATGACCCCCCCCTCTCCAGTAGCTTTAGTGAGTGTGACAGACATTTAGGCTGCTTAAGCTGAATGCAATTTAGTGAGAATCCCCTTGGCATTAGATTGTTCCTGCTAACACAATAGGTTTATGGGAACCCAGTCTTAAACATGTACAACTGGCCAGGGTAAAGTAAACATAAATGGGGAGATGTGGCCAACTATTACCCAACTTTGTCTGTAGTCCAGAGCCAAGTTTCTGGAAAACTTTGACGTATTTTTTCTGGCTCTTTCAAAATACTCTTCTTTCCAAAATTATGTTCAGCTCCAGTTATATGTACTCCATGAACAATACCTTTTCCTACCATGAAAATTGTTTTTCATGTCAATAAAATTGATATTTATCTACATAGCGTCTGGTAAGATATTTTTCAAAAATTAGTTTGATTAAATAAAATTAGTTAGTAGTGCATGATGCTTTATTTATGTGAAATAAATTTCTGAAAAAAAAGGAAACAAGTGAATTAATCAAATTCATGCTATAACACAGAAAAGATGAATAAATCAAATTAAGAAATTGAGTCAGAAGCTGATTCAACTTATAACCCGTTCATGGTTTGTGACATACTGTGGTAAAAGATAAAAACCTTCCAGCCATTTTTTGTTCATAATCTGTTGGGTCATGCCAACTCATAAATATTTTGGTAAATTTTTTTTCCACGTCATTTGGGGTTTGTAAAAAAGTAGGAAGAAGCTTTACAAATATGGGTATGGGGTTACTCAAGGCAGAAAACTGCTAAGAAAAAAATTAGATTTCTGATTAAAATAAACTCCCACGATTTTAGTTCTAAGCAGTCATTTCATGAGTGGAAATGTTAAGTTAAAGGCAATTTGTTATCAGATTGTCATTGAAAGTCAGGAAAATAGGTGAAAAAAATAAAATGAAATAATTTCTTGAAGGTGTCACTTTCTTGTGTTATTCTTCTAAAATACAACACAGTTACATGTAAAGGCCTACAAGTTTATGGGTGAAACACACAGTCACACATGAAAAAAAATCTACAAACAACAAATAAAAATAATAAATTTAAAAAAATGAAAAAAAAAGACATTGAAAAAAACACTGAAAGAAAAACACTAACTACTTTAACACAAATTTTGATGAAAAAACAAGGAAAAAAAATCAGTTTCACATTTAGAAGTGGTTGGGGCTGAAATGGTCTGAGCATGGCAAAAAGACACAAGCAGCACAAGTACCCAGCAATTTTGTCAATCCAAAGCCAAGTTTCTGGAAATTCCTTTCTCACTTCCTCTACAGTCTGGAGGCTGTTGCTGCTTCTGGATTGGTCTGCCTCAGCAACGTTGTCTGCAACTGGCAGCAGAGCTGCCATTTCAAAAACATTGTCGCCACCATCAGCTTTACGCAACCAGTTGTCTGTCACTACATAACACAATGAAAAATCTTGTTTGATAGATAAACTCATGAAAGGAATTAACTGTAACACAAACAAGATGGCACTTTTTGTTAGTTTTGAAATAAAGTTATCCATGGTTGAAAATGAGGTAATTCTATCAAAAATGCAAACAATAACAATCATTACAATAAAATCAAAACATGATTAATAATCTGAGACAACTTTAACATTAATTGTTATCCCTGCAGCTTTTCAATAGGTTTTGACTCTAATAATTCCTTGTTGTTCATGAAACTTAAAAATTCATAACACATATTATGATATCTAGCCAGTATGCCCACAATGCTTGCCAATGCGCTAAGATGACAGAAGGCTCAATGACAAAAAAGAAACAAATAAAGGTGCCTCCTTCTTCAATCAGTCACCTACATGTGAGCAGTGACAAAGGTGGACAACTGTAACAGTCAAATGCCTGTAGCCACCTAACTTCCCTTGGCAAAATGAAACATTTGCAGCAATATTGCAGCAAATTGGCAGCAGACCTGATATTTTGCTAAGGGTAACCAACAGACAGATAATACACATAAGACTTGGTGTAAATCTCATCTTCAGAGTTGCATACTTATTTTAAAAAACAACTTAAATTACTTATTCATTTCATATTCAAAGATTATAACCAGTACGTCTGTATCATATAAGTTTTAAGTTTCCAAGACTACATAAAAAGTAAAATTTAATTTAAAATAAAAGGGCCAATATCTTAACTCACTTTCAGTACAAATGTTGATTGTAATCTCAAGCTTCTCTTTTTTTAGCAATATTACTTCAGAAAAATTATTTATATTTAATCAAGGATAATTCTCTTCAAATCTGTCACTTGAGAGTTTTAGCAAATGATTTAAAAGCATCACTAAGTCAATAATACAAAGTGTTGTCTACCGGTCAAGTCTGTGACACACATTTTGTGAAATATTTGCAAAATTGTTTTACAACCTTTTTTGTATGCTGTTCTACAGTCTGTTTTTTTTTTGTTTTTTTTTACTGTTTTACAACCTGTTGATCTTTTTCCACATTACAGGTAACCATAGTATAAAACCAGCAGCAATGTTAGGACAAGACAGAACTGTGCAAATTTCATACAAAATGTGAGCTTGGGTGACTTGACTCTGAAAGACACTTTTTTTTGTGGAATAATGACTCAACTCTTTACTTACTGGGGTACAATACTAGGTCCTTTTTTAAATAAGCATCTGTCATTACCAGCATGCCTGCTTCCTGAAAAAAACAAAGAATCAGTATAATCCACCAAGTGATATATCACTGTCCATCTCTAGCTATCAAAAAAAAAAAAAAAAGAAAAAAAAACAACTGCATTTTCCTAACTCCCCCAAGGATTTATGTTCACTGCAGAAAATGCACATGACGTCAACAAATAAATCCTGTAAGGAAGAAAAAAAATATCATTTCAAATTTATTCAGCAAGCACCATGTAATATTTTGCTTTTTGGTAAGGATAAATGGCCAACTTGTGGGGAAATGGGATAAAAAAGTGTATCAATTTTCATGTTACGATGTAATACTAAATGTTTTTCTCTAAATATAAGGCCTTCTGCCTTAAGATCTTGACTCACAAGACTGAACTAAGGTTGCCTTAATCATCACAAAAAGCTATCTTGAGATTAAAAAGGAAAAGCTAAATACTTGCCTTCAGCAAATCAAAAGCATTATTTCCACCAATGGGATAGGGCCACCAAAATGACCTCTTCTTTCTCTTGGCCATAATACACGGTTCGCCTCTTAAGCAGGGGTTAAACCCTCCACTTGTGTCCTTTACATCGTACTCCTCCAGTTCTGCCAAGACCTGTGAAATATTACAGCCAGGACTTATTAAATACTACGTAGCAGGACTCAGTACATACTATATAGCAGGATTCAGTACATACTAAAACCTTTTTAAACTGAGCCATTCAGGTTTCAGTATCACACCTGTAAGGGGGTGGGGTTACCTTTCACAAGCTTTCAACGTACCAATCAAAATTTTTTGGTGGTGCTGAGAGTAGAGGATCCATTAGGGTATTTCTCAGACTGGTGCAATTCAGAAAAATGCAATCCTACTTACATAGACATTCAATGCTTAATATAATAAGAACTAAGTTTTGTGCTTGATTGGTATTATGACGAACGTATCATTCATAGCTCAAGATTGTTCCATTCACCACTTATCAAATGCACTGTTTTATTATTCAAATACGCCATGTTTAAAAATGTGTAGTCTTCCGAATCTGTTGTTGTCAGAAATCACTAAAAAAAGAACACACAGAGGTTCTCCTTGGTCATAGCAGGCAATGCATCATATTCGAACTAAACTAGATTCAATCACTGATGACTAGAAAACACACCCACCATCCCAACCAACCACACACACCCACCAT